GAGACAGCGCAGAGCAAGTTTGTTATGTTCGTATCTCGTTCTCCACACCCCTACAGAAACAATATATATATATATATATATATATATATATATATATATACTATTTTTAATAGTATTTTGAGAAATTGAATATGAATTTATGGCGGGGGTTAGAAATAATTAAAACGGAATGAATTTTTATTATAATGATAAAGTAAAATTGTATAACTATAATACTAAGTAGTTAAAAACAACTAATCACAAATTATTAGTAAGATGTATTAAATGAAATGGGAAAGTAACACATTTATTTTTTTTGTTTTTTTTTTACTAACTTTAGTTAATAATGAAATTTAGTGCAAAAATGTGTTTTTGACGTTATTTAAAAAAATATTTTGTACAACAATATGTATCACGGATATATTTGAAATTTAGAAGGTTACATTGTGTTTTCTTTGTGGACTTGGTATGAAAATTTGGTAAAAGTTTGCTCTCTGACATAAATCAATAAACCTTTACATCTTGGTAGCTCAAGGATGGCTGGTAAATGTAAAGGTAAAGCATTTATTTTAAGCTTTTGAAAAAAAAAAACTTAAAAAGAAATGGTTTAGTATTAATATTTTTTTATTAAATTAATTGTGATATTTGAAAGAAAACCTTAAAACTCTTTTTTTAGTACAGATTAATTTCTTGTGCTTGCGCACATGTCTTTGTTTTTAAAGTAAATATGGTAAAAAATAGGTCTGTTGAATAAGTTTTCAATTATATCATCAATTATATCTATTTAGGTTAGTGCGATCAACTTATCAATTCGTCTATGTCGGGCATTCTGTCAACTTATTTGTCCAGGTAATCTAGACACACCCTAAATCATAAGCTTGTCCATTTTAGTCATCCAGGCAAGACCAACAATCTGACCATTCCCATCAGTTTATTTGTTTATTATACCGTCGACCCGTACAACCCAACTAACCATTCAGTCAGCTTGGTCCATCCTGTCTATCTCGGTCAGTCCGTTAATGTTGTCAGTCTAGGACGTCGCGTCAGCCTGCCCATGTCATTCATCTTAGTATATTGGTCATCATGTTAGTTCGTCCATCTGTCTATCCCTGCCATCCAGGCTAACTTGACAAAATCAAATAATGCGTTCATCTTGTCCATCTCGTCAATATGTCTATTGTGTACATCTCGACCATTCGATCAGCCTAGTTCATTTCGTCCATCTTGACCAACTCACATCCTAACCATCTTGGTCATCCCCATCAGCGTGGCCAACACGCTAGCCTGACCATCATGTATGTCCCAACCATTCATGCCAGATCGACCAATGCATCCATGTCGACCTTCTCATATGCTCGTTCATCTCATATATCTCGATCATCCAATCAATGGTCCTATTCGTTCATCCTGGTCAGTCTGTCCATCCCGTCTATCCTGGTTATCCCCGTCACCATAGCCAAAATGCCAACCCGACCATCCCATCATCGAAGCCAGCCCGATAACGCGACCATCTATTAGCTTGTCCATCCCATCTATCACGTTAATCTTGGTCATACCTTGTGTACCATATAATCGTTTGAGCAACTTCAGACCGAACATTTTTTCGAATCAACTATGTAACAAATAGGACCACAAGATCTTCCTAAAAGTGTGGTTCCAAACTACAAGTCAAACAATCAACTTAAAATTACATTTTTTATAATACTAATCAAATCAAGACAAAACATAATTATTGTCGGATAGACCACAATTAGGCCGACACTAATCAAAGACTCACTTTGAAATCTATAAATAAAGGTTTGAGATAAAGAGGTAAGTGATTACATTTAATACACATTAAATATCTAAACTACTGAATTCACATTAACTTTGGCATCAAAAGGTTTTTCTACATGCACCCTCCGAGTAGTATTGGACGAACAACGACAGAAGACAAGAAGCGGAGGATTGTGTTTGGAGACCCAACTGCAATACAATGTTTTGTGGGAGTTGACCTCGACCTCACACTTTGAAACATCTTCTATCTCGACTAGCATGTCCATTATGGTCATCTCGTCAACCCGTCCATCATGGGTTATCTCTGTGCTCGTCAATCCTAACTATCATGGCCAACCTAGATGTTGAAAATCAAGTGTTGTTGTTTTAAACTTTATAATAAGCCGATATTGGTGTTTGTTTATTCTTGAAAACGTGGTAAATTAAATATCAAATCATTTAGTTTTACATATTTTTGTATTGTTTTGAACTCCTTATGCAAATAATGTATTTCAATTGAAGATATCATTGAAATTTTAATGTTTGAATAAACGTGATTTTTTTATGATATATGTGATTTCATAAACTAAGTTGGTAGTTGTATTATTTTCAGCACAAAGGAAGTTAAAATTTGGTTGGGAAAGTAAATTTTGGTTTGGATGATTGATCTTTGAATTTTGGTTGAAATTGTTTGCATCAATAAGTTAATCTGTGATTGATGTTTAAAATTTTATGATGTTAGTATGAATGTGGTTGTATGAGAATTTGCTTAAAAGAACATTTGATGAATGTGTGAATTTTTTTTGTGATTATATGGTGAAGTGTTTACCTTGTATTTGGTTGAATTAGTGACTCTGTACTTGTGATTATAACCATTTTATTTCTTGAAGGTATATCTTAAAAAGGTTATAAAAGAAAATTCAAGCAAACTTGACTAGTTTATTGGATTTATTTTATTGATGAAAAATGTTGTATTATGAATTGTGTAGAACTTATCTAAGAGTTATGAGATGGTGGGAAATATAAAAAGTTAGTTGAAAACACCTTAAATTGCACTAAATTCACTTTTTTTGTTGCATTGCCATGAAGCGTAATTTAAGCACCACCAAGTGTCACACTCACAATAAGCCTCCTCTCAGTGTCTGGTGTTGAATAGTGACTATTGGACGATAATTTTGTGAAAATAATTTATTTCAATTATTATATTGTTCTTCTTTTTATATCACCAAGTGAAATGTTTATATTTAGTGACATCGGTTAACGTAGAAATATTTGTGAAAAATAGTGGTATAAAATTAGCCATATTAATTATTTTCAAGAAAAAATGTTAATCTACGATGTATTGGACGAGACTATTCTAACTCAATCAGTATTAACTCATATAGAATATAATATTTAGGTGATGTGAATCAAAATGAGACACCACATAACAAACTTTATAATATGAAAAAAAGATTATATTAAGGAGTTTAAGAGATTAACCCATGACTTATTTTAATACTGTTAAGAGAATTATATATAATAACTTATAAAGTTTAAGACCATATTACAATAAAATTTATTGAAAGTTTAAAAATTAAAAAAATTATTTATTTTTTATTTACTCATCTCTAATGCACTTTCTAAGCAACATATATTTGAAAACATATAATCAAAACTTCGACCTTTTTTCCCTTTTAACTTAAACCTCCCGACAGCTCCTTTAACCTAACTCAATTTGCAAAAGAACATTGTTTTTATTATATAAAAAACACAATACAAAGGGAAATGAAAGAAAATAAAAAAGTTTAAAGCAAGAAACTTGCTAGTCAGAACTTCTTTGAGGTTGGAGCAAATGTTATGTTCATTGGGCATCACAAGACTCCGGAATGAAGGAAGGTACACGTCTGGAACAAGATAACCAGTTTTATTGATTAAACACTTTGCCAACTTTATTTCACAAGAATAAAAATTTTAAAAATAGAACAAATAGTTAAATAAGTATATGCTATAAAAAGTTACTAATTGCGATATAGTATTTAAAAAATATTAAACAGTTTATGACTTACAAATATGAGGCGGTTTTATTTGATTATTTAATTTAGTAAATAATGATCATAAATAATTTGAGCCATTAAGATTGTTTTAAGTGGTAAATTGGTACATATTAATATTTCCAATAATTAATTATATAAGCATTTTAGCATGAAAATCACACGCAATATTTTTTTTGTATAACTAAAATTTATAATAAATAATTCTTCTAAATATATAAATCATGGCATGATTAAATGGGTAATAAATAATATTATTGAACATATAAAATATATTTGAAATTTATATTTTTCCAAAATATTAGGATTTAAGTTATAACTATAAATATTGAAAATAATAAGACAAAGACATGAGAAAATTTTGAAAATAAGGAAAATTTGAATTATAGTATTCGTTTATAACCAATTATAAATACAAACAAACTTTATTTCAATCCGTTCTGAGTCATGATTGAGTAATAGTAATGAAAAATAACAAAAGGACCAATAAATGATTTTTTCCAGAGATTAAATTGAATTTGAATATTTTCAGAAACTAAATTAAGTGGCTACTATAAAATAACAACAAAACTAATTGATATTATAATATACCAATGAAAACGCATGCATATATCCTCTCTTTTTTTATTACAAATTTATTTTTTTTAAAATAACCGAATTTAAATGAATTTTGATTTAGAAAATAAAACAATAATATAACTATTTTAATTAAAAATTAATTAAATTTAAATTAACAGTCTTTTAAAAGATAAAAAAATAAAATTATTTAATTTAAAATAACAATTATTAAAATAATGTGTATAGAAAAAAGAAAATCTCCATTACTGATGTTATAGCATATAAAAAATGTTATCGAAAACATCATAAATATAACCCATCGCATTTTAATATATCTTTTTAATGTAACTGTTGATAAAGATTTTATATTATTATTTTCTTTTTCAACATCCTAAAATAGTAAACTCGCCGTTAAAAACACTACTTTCTTTTAATAAAATAAAAAGTTTAATAAATATATATTAAAATACACGTTTCAATTGTCAAAAACATTTTTCTTGATAATTGAACAGTATTTGTTTGAAAGTTGAATATGTGTAAATGAGTCAGAAAACATTTTCGTCATAAATGCAACAGAAGCATGTGGTTTTCGAGATTTTTTGAAAAAAAGTCTGACACAGAGACCACTCTGCAGTGTTGCTTTGCTTTGCTTGTTTATTTCAGTTCAAATTTAAAAAGAAAAAACAAAACAAAAGAAAAAGATTCTCCACCACATAACTTGTTCCTCATTCACTCCGCTTCTCTGTACTTATGCACAAATCAGCTTAACTCAAAAGCAGACGCAACAAATGTCCCTAGGATCCCTTCTGCATTCACTGTAGTTGTTGTCTCAGTCTATGTTTTATTGTTTTCCAACTAACTTCAGAGCTTGACTCATTCTTCACTGTGCCTTTTAGATCATCGAATTAAACTTTGGGTGCTTCAGATTTTCGGTGTTGGTGATTTTGGATTAATGGGGAGTGGAATGTTTGGAAGGTGTGATTTTGTTGTTGTTGTGGTGTTGGTGGTGTTGGTGGGGTTGGTGGGGTCAGTGAGTGGGATTGGTGTGAACTGGGGGACACAGTCGACACACCCTTTGTCTCCTTCGAAGGTGGTGAAGATGCTGAAGGACAATGGCATTCAGAAGGTGAAACTCTTTGATGCTGATCCTGGTATTTTGGATGCTCTCAAGAAGTCTGGGATACAGGTTATGGTGGGGATTCCCAATGACATGCTTTATACGCTCGCCAACAGTGTTGAAGCAGCTGAGAAATGGGTTTCCAAGAATGTTTCCAAACATGTCTCTTCTGGAGGAGTTGACATCAGGTACATTAGAAACCCCTTTGTTACGTGTCCGTGTCTGTCGTTTTAATTTTCGCTGTTCTTGTTGCTTGGCTTGGTTTTTTGGTGATGAAATGGTTATGCATAAACAACCAGTTTGTTTAAAAGTAAGAGTGGAAAACATCATTGGAGTGTGACAACTTGGAATCATGGCGCAATTTGAGAATGCAAGCAATGAGAATTTCAAGAAAATGTAAATTTCTGACTGTCTTTTTTATTTTGCATGTGGGAGGGGCATATTAGGTAAGGGAATTTTCGACAGCTTTGGTTGTTGAACTCTGAACAAGTATACTGGTTATGAATTTGTTATTTGTGCAATATTTTACAAGGACAATCCCTGCGACACCTACCTTTGCTTGGATTCTGTTGGCACTTCTGCTTGTTGTTCTGGTGCTTCTGATGTTGCATTGCATGATACACTAATGTAAACTTTAGTTTTTGTCTTCTTCTTTGTTGTGTTCTTGGTTAAAAAAGTGTAATGTTCATCTATGACCGTGGAATAGAAATAGAATAAAACAAATATAGAAATATAAGATGTGAAATTCAGCATATTGTACACTACCAATGGTTATAAATACTTCACTGCCATGTTTCGGATGATTTGAAAATCCATGTTTTTCTTTACTGAGCAATGTGTTTGACAAATTTTAATTGTTTGCTGCAAAGTTCTTATGTTTTGGATATTTCTCTGTGTTATCTCATAACTGATGCAATGCTTTTGAGAGTGGCGGTGTGAAAAACATTGCAACAAGACCGAAGAGAGTTCTAGTGAATGGGAAATAAGTATCTTTTCCTAGATGAGTTTGTTGTGCAATGAAATGCATTTGTTTCAGGGGTTCAGCTTGTGCTTTGTCATGGTCGATTGAACCTGTTTTCCTTTTACTTATTTTGTTTGGAAAATTGTTCAATGTTTAATCTTCCACATCTTCTACTGCCAGATATATTCCTCTTAGTTCTCATATATGCCAATCTGTGAAAGCTCCACTCATTGTTAATGTATTTGGAATGAAAATATGTCCCTTGTTGAAATGATTCTAGATCCTAATCTCAGAAAACAATGTGCACCCTTAGCTAACCAATTGGTCTATATTCCTACCTTAGCTGGCCAAACATTAATCCTATCCTTGTTGTTCTCGTATGAAATTAATGTTGCCCAATCTTTCATGATATGCTTTAGATTTGGAAGGTTATGCTTAGAAAGTTATCATGGGAACAACTCATGTCCTTCCTTACAGCTATTAGCTTAATCTTTTTACCTTGTATTTCATCCCTCAATGACCAAGTTCACTTGTGATTATTTTTCTTGAAAGAGATTATAGTTCTAATGTTAATTGAAGGAAAAATTGTTTTTGGGTCGACCTAAGTTATAGTCATTATTTTTTGTGTTCTCTGCACATGGAATGACATTCGATTGTTAATTCCTGCAAGTATGGAGATTAAACTTGTTCTTCCACAATTTCCCAAACATTTCATTATGGATGTGCAATTATTTAGATATTTGGATGCATAGGATCTCTGTTGCAGTAATATTCCTTTATATTGGAATTTGAAAGTCGATATACTTATGATTTCTATTTCTATTCATTCATGACCCTTTTCCAAATAGGCAAACAAACAAGATTTCCCAATTAGGGAACAAAAAGCCTTTCATTCTTCTAAAGATTAAGCATATCACTTTAGTATTAACTGGTAGAGTTGAATGGTCATTGATCCTTATATCCAACCCCACGTAGTAGCATAAGACTCGGCCATTGTTGTTGATCCTGATTTCAGTCACTTACAGCCACCCAAGGTTTTGGTTCAAGTTTGATGTGAAATTCTTGTTCCTTTGCATTGTAGCTGTTCCCAACCCTTAATAAAACAAGGATTTCAAATATAGGAAATCCAAATGCGAGTCTAAGTCTCTAGTTGAATAAAAATTACAAAGTTAAACATCATATAAGGAAGAAAATTCAATAAACCTATTGTCTTAAAGATTTGGATTGAAGGTGGTGTTAATCCTTTGTGAGTTAGACTCATGTTTACTTGGTGTTATATCTCTGGTGCTGTAACTTTATGTCAATCACTTATGTCTATATATTGTGGCTTTTGCTAGGTATGTTGCAGTGGGGAATGAACCATTCTTGTCAACATACAATAGATCCTATGAAACCACAACTCTTCCAGCACTTCAAAACATTCAGGCAGCTCTCACAAAGTCCGGTTTGAGCAACCGTGTGAAGGTCACAGTCCCCTTAAATGCCGATGTGTACCAAAGCTCGTCAGAGAAGCCGTCAGACGGCGGTTTCAGACCAGACATTAACAATCTGATGGTACAGATTGTGAAGTTCTTGAATGACAATGGCGCACCTTTCACAGTGAACATCTACCCTTTCATCAGCCTCTACACTGACCCCAATTTCCCTGTTGACTATGCCTTCTTTAACGGCTACCAGCCTGCTATAAATGACAATGGAAGAAACTACGACAACGTGTTTGATGCTAACCACGACACTCTGGTGTGGGCACTGCAGAAGAATGGCTTCGGAAACTTGCCTATAATTGTAGGGGAAATTGGGTGGCCTACAGATGGAGACAGAAATGCAAACCTTCAAAGTGCACAACGTTTCAACCAAGGTTTCATGTCACGTTACATGTCTGGAAAAGGGACCCCAATGAGGCCCAGTCCTATAGATGCTTATTTGTTCAGTCTGATAGATGAAGACGCCAAAAGCATTCAGCCAGGGAACTTTGAGCGTCATTGGGGGATGTTTTACTTGGATGGACAACCAAAATACCAACTTAATCTTGGGTCTGCAAGAGGTAATGGGTTAGTGGGTGCTGAGGGGGTTGATCATTTGGCTAAAAAGTGGTGCGTTTTGAAACCTTCGGCAAACCTTAACGATGACCAAGTGGCACCTAGTGTGGCCTATGCTTGTCAAAATGCTGATTGCACTAGTCTTGGGTATGGAACTTCTTGTGGCAATTTGGATGTGCATGGTAACATTTCTTATGCGTTTAACAGTTACTATCAGGTCAATGACCAGATGGACAGTGCCTGCAAATTCCCTGGCCTTTCTATGGTCACTGACAAAGATCCTTCTGTTGGAGATTGCAAGTTCAGAATCATGATCCAGACAGATTCCGCTGTGCTACATGGAAAAATTGGATCTCTACCCACAGTGCTGTGTTCTTTTGTAATTTTCCTATGTTGTAATCTTTTGTTTTGATTTGTTTGCCTTGTTACTTGTATTTGAATGCATGCAGGTAACTGTGTAGCAAGTGTAAGAAAAAAGTGACTTAAATTGTTTATTAATGCAATGTTGTCTGACTTAGTTATCCCTGCCCCGATAGTTTTTTTCGGCCTTGTTTTCATAAAAGTGATTTCTGCATTATTGTTTCAGAGTATTTTTGGAACAAACTTTTTTGAATCTCAAAATATGACTTTTTGAAAAGAATTTTGCTAAACAAAATATCTAAAATAAAATTTTTTAAATGAGATTTTCGAAGCAAGATTTTCATAAAGTATATTATGAAACAATTTTTTTTGAACAGAACTTTAAGAACAAGCTTTCCATTCCAAAACGAGTTTTTTAAAACAATTTTTTTGAAACAGTTTAAATTCCAATATGGTTCTATGTTGTGGTAGCGGTGGTAAGAACAACTATTATGTTATATTTTAGTAATATTTTTGTTAGTGTGGAGTGCATTTAGTAACGATGAGGTGCATGAAGCAAACACGTTTTTTTATATTGATGAAGAGTACAATTATTCACTTTTAAAATGACAAATGGGATAGCCATTCTTTCTGTTATGAATTTAATTAGAATAAAATGATAATATTTTTAAAAATTTGTATTTTTATTTAATTTTGATTTTTTGTATATAATTTTTTATATTTTAAATAAATAATGTTACTTGATTACTTGACAATGAACTTTTTATTCGAATAGTAAATTACTTTTGCATAATGGTTTATTACCCATTCATTAGAATAATAATTTAGTTTTAATTTATTCACTTGAATTATTTTCTAGAAAAACCAACATAAGTAGTCAAGATCAAACATGTAATTTTTTTTCTTATATAACTATAATAATTACTAAAAATTAAAATATGTTTATAAATATTTTTTATAATTGTTTTATTATAGTTTTTCTTTTATGTTCTGTAACTGTTTTTCACTGCAATAACAATTATATAAATTTTTTTATTTGTATAAATTGTTTTTTAATATAAAAGAATGTGGACCTATAATATCATAACAAAATTCTGTAATTCTTTTATACGTATTTTATTATATTGCTTTTTACTTTCATAAACACAGTCAATTTTATGATATTAAAAAATTGCTCACAATGATTTGTAATTGTCTTTACCAAAAATTACAAGTGTTTTTGTTATACAATCATAATATCATAATAAATCAATAAAAAATAATGTTTCAATTTATGTACACAATTTTTTTGTTGCCTTAATATAAATTTTAATAATATTCTTTTATTTTTGATAATTTCTATAATACTTTTTTCGAAATTGTTCATTATGATAAAAACAGGAAGGGATATGCATTTCCAGTAATAATAACTATAGCCGTATAACAGATGAGTTTATTTGTTTTTTTTTTTAATGAAAATATTTATTTTTATAAAAGAAATGGTTTATTAATCAACATATTTTTTACTTCTTAATTTTAGTATGTGTGTTTGACCCAATCCACTGGTAACTTTTTTTCTTTTCTCCTAAAAAATTATTCTGGTGAGATTTATCAATTATTTCTGCATGAATCTTGCCTACTTTTCTTTTCTAGTTTCTCTTTTTTGAACAAAATTGGAGTTTCCGGTGAGACATTAACTTTGTAATATATTTTTATTTATATTTTTTTAGACGAAAAAACTGATCTTAAATAAATAAACTAAATTTAATTCGTGTAAAAATATACCAAAAACCTCTTGACTTTAAAAGAATTTAGTTCAAAAATACTAAAATTTCATAAATAATTTATACTTGTATCTTTAAGTTTTAATTTTTAACTTTAACTTAGAATTAGAAGGTATTTAAGTTAAAAATAAAAAAATAAACTGGTCTAAAATCTAAATTTAGAAAAGAAAAATACATATCATTTGGGCTGATTTTCTTGTTGGATCCGGGCCTGGAAGGAAATGGGCTTAGTAGCATGGGTAAGGGTAGGTTTAAAGTAGCGGGTCGGATATTTCCCGAAGCTTCTGATCCATCATCGCGTAGGTGTTGGTGTTGGTTTGTGCGGTGCCCTTTCCCACTGTCTTTCTTTCTTTCTCTTTTTTTCTTTCTTCTACATTTATTCTTCTCTCTGCTCTCACCTCTGCAACTGAAACAATCAGCATACACTCATAACCCTATTTTGTAATATACACACTATTCATATTAAGCACATAATACAAAACAAAAAAGAACCAAATCACATATACCATCATCATCATATATAATAAGATTATCCTCTCTCAGTGTCGCTGATGGAGGATCAAGCGAATCAAGCGCCACCGCAGCACGATGAAGAGGAGGATTCTAAGAAGGAAGAAGATGAATTGGTAACGAAGGTTAACAAACTCATGGAGAAGATCACTTCCACGCCTGATAACCCTAACGCCACCGTTCTCCACGCTCTTGCCTCTATTCTCGAAACACAAGAGTCAAGGTATATTTGTTATTGTTGTTAATTTTTTTATTCAATAATTTATTTTCTTCACATGTTCAAACTTCACGAACGCTCTAGTATTTGATTGCTCTCGGAATGATTTCTTAGGTGTTGATTTATGTTTGTATGATTGCCAAGTTTATATCATTTACATGCTTAGTGCTGGCTTGGATTCCGAATTATTTAACTATAGCTTATTCTTGGTTAGTTTTTTATCTTTTCATTTCCTTCTAGTTTTTAAGAGTAATTTATTTATTTTTACAATGTAGATACATGGATGAGAATGGCCATTCTTCCTCCAGTACTGCCCGTGCCGCTCATGTCATTGGTCGTCTTGGAGGTTTAATTCGGGTAAATTCTCATTCAGTTGTGGCTGTTGTTAATTTGGGCATGTAGCTTCTTAAGATTATGTACTGTATCAACTTTTGTGATTGTATATTTGCTTTTCTGTCCTTTGCAGGAAAATGATGAGTTTTTTGAGTTGATATCTTCAAAGTTTCTGTCAGAGACAAGATACTCAACCTCTGTTCGAGCTGCTTCTGGAAGACTTCTCCTATGCTGTTCACTAACATGGATTGTAAGATTGTCTTTTCGTTTTGTTTATGTTTGTCATTGTTAATTCTTTTAACGATGTCCATGTGTTATTGAATTGATCTGATGGACTGTAAATGAACAGTATCCTCATGTTTTTGAAGAACCGGTCATGGAAAACATAAAAAATTGGGTGATGGATGATAACACTGGGCTGTCTTCTGAAGAGCAGAATCTGAAGCATAGTTCCGGGAGAAGGGAGGCATCAGACTCTGAAATGTTGAAAACCTACTCTACTGGACTCCTTGCTGTTTGTTTGGTTGGGTATGCTGTTATTATGCTCTGCTCATTCTGTAGGCTTTTTAAAGTTTTCTAGGTTTGATGTTTGGCTTAATTCTGGTCTTTAACTGTTGCCCAGTTGATCTTTAACTGTTCAATCTTGCTTGTCTCTATTTTAACTCATTTTTCTAATTTTGTAAATGGCATTGGATTGATTTTAGTGGAGGTCAAATTGTTGAAGATGTATTGACATCTGGCTTGTCAGCTAAGCTTATGCGATATCTTCGTTTACGTGTTCTGGGAGAGACAAGTAGCAACCAGAAAGATGTTACTCATATGACAGAGAGTAGGCATGCATCTGCGAATACTTCAGGGAGAGCTAGAGATGACGGTCGTGGCAGATTTCGCCAGCTCCTTGAACCAAATCATTTGGATGATACTAGGATGATTGATGAGAGATCTTTAGATGATGTAAGTCTTGAAAGGGCTCCAGATAGAAGCATTAGTGGACAAACACATCAAGAAGGATCTTGGATAGAAGGTGAACCACCTGATGGGCTTGGTGAAGGTGTTGATGTCCAGGAGGTAGATTCTGATGGGGAAGATAGATGGCGTTACAGAGATATACGTGATGGAAGGATAAAATACAGTGAGCATGATGACAATGTTAGAGATGACTCTTCAAGGCGGCGTTCAAACCGTGGATGGGGAAGATCTAAAGGGAAAGGAAGGGTCGCTGAAGGGACTGTAGAGAGTGATTCCATTTTATCATCTCCTGGTTCTGGTAGTAGATTAGTACAGGGTCGGAGAGATAGAAGCGTAATGAGGAATGCTGATTTTAGGAGGGTGGCTGAGTCTAAGAAGACCCTTGGCAGGATCTCTTTGGAGTCTTCTGGTTTTGAAAGAGATGATCATGATGATTGTTTCCATGAATGCCGAATTGGAAATAAAGATATAACTGATCTCGTCCGGAAAGCAGTTCAAGCTGCTGAAGCTGAAGCCAGATCAGCCAATGCACCCGAAGAAGCTGTCAAAGCAGCTGGTGATGCTGCTGCTGACCTGGTTAAAACTGCAGCTTCAGAGGTATGCTCTGGGTCATCAATTTTTTCCTCCCCAAACCAAAAATTGTACTTTTTATGTTTGTGTATCAATACATCATAGTTTAATCTCAATGCTAAAATAGTTTATTTTGCATTTATATTCAGGAATATAAATCCTCTGATAATGAAGAAGCAGCTTTTTTGGCTGCTTCTAAAGCTGCATCAACTGTTATTGATGCTGCAACTGCAGTTGAAGTTTCAAGGTATGTCAAAATATATTTTACCAGTACCTTAAGATATGATTACATACATGAACGCATATCAAGAGTAGTTTTTTTAGTAGTATCTTTTTGTTTGGTGCAGGAGTTCTATTGGCAACAATACTGTAACAGAGAACGAGAGTGGCAAAGAAACAGAAACTAATGAGGATGTGGAAGAGTACTTCATCCCAGATACTCAATCACTTGCACAGTTGAGGGAAAAATATTGCATTCAGTGTCTTGAGTTACTTGGAGAATATGTAGAAGTACTTGGCCCTGTGTTGCACGAGAAGGGAGTTGATGTGTGTCTTGCACTTCTGCAGCAGAATTCTAAACATCGGGAGCCATCCAAGGTTGCTTTGCTGTTGCCCGATGTCATGAAACTAATATGTGCTTTGGCTGCACATAGGAAATTTGCTGCACTTTTTGTGGACCGAGGGGGAATGCAAAAGCTTCTTGCTGTCCCTAGAATGGCACAGACTTTCTTTGGTCTTTCTTCTTGTCTATTCACTATTGGCTCTCTTCAGGTATTCTTGTTGTTTTAGTAGTCA